TCATTTTATACCTATGGTCAGGCAATAAATGTATTTGTATTTGTATTCATTATAGGCTAATGAAAATTACAAGTTTAGTTACAACTAGTACTCTAAATAAACATTGAAAGGGATGGTAGTTCAATTTTATCGTAAATTATTTACGATAAGATTGGACTACCATCCCTTTAAGAATAAACAGGAAGAAAATATTTGAGTCATTTGAAACAAAAAAAAAACGAATTCCATGACTTTGATGTGCCTATGTAGTGTGTGTTGCACATAGTGATTATGTGTTACAGTCAGTGATCATGAGTGTTACATCAATTAATAAGATTCTGGTGTTTTTATGGTATTATTGCTGATAAAATTAATGTTGCCAGGACCAAGGTAGCAAAATTATAATTTTCATTATTGATGACTATATTTTTACAACTTATAAACAACTTAACAACTAACAAACCTAATATATTTTAAAGAAATAGAACCTTTTGTTGCAAGCAAAGAATGTTAAACTTAAAAAAATTCAAATGTGTTCTACAACTACTTCCTTAACATTCTGAATGGGTTTTCGGGAGGTCCGGCAACTACGAATAATAATCACGAAGAAAATGTTAACAATAGACAATGACAATATACATAGAATTGTATATTGGCATTGTGCATCAACAAATTAAAAAAAATATAAAACATATAAGTTATATTGACTTTCAGACAGGTGTCAGTGGGAGAATCAGTAGACGGACATTGGAGTGAGGAGCTTATAGAGCCAGAAAGGTTGGCAGCATTGGTGGCTCAGCTGTCCAGCCAGGCAAGAGCCCATCTTCAGCACTCCAGCCATCACAAGGTGCGGAACATACTTTACAAGTGACTGAAGTTTGTGACCCTCTTATTTTCAGTCAGTCTGATGTTCAGTATATCGGAACCAATTCTCTATGTTTCAATTTCTGAATTTCAGAAATAAACTGTGCCAATATAAAGTATTAGACATTTACTGAATGCCAGTTAGTCTTTTCAGTGATGTAGTTAGGAGGTGGGTTACCTACAAGTAGGTGACAGGTTTTGCCCAGTGTAGGAGCAAGTGTAACTGGTTTTGAATAAATTTAAAAGTACATCTCATGAACATACATATTCCATAATGTGTAAACTAATATATCTCAATTTTATCTGTTATCTGGAATTGAACTGTATTTGTTTTTATGTATAAATAAAAAATAAAGGTTTTTAATAAATATAAAGAAAAAATGAGGTAAGTTGCAAATGAATAAACTGCCTGTTACTAAAATTACTAGCAACACCACTCATATCGCAGATAACGTTAAAGGCTCTGGTAATAGCCTAGGTAATAATACTTAACTGATAGAGATAGTGTTAAAGAAAATAGATGTCAAAAAACAATGGTGAATTTGCCTACCACATTATTTTCATCTAAAATTTACGTTATTTGTCTTACAGGTTACATCAGTGAGAGATGTAGATACATCAGTGGTGCTAGATACTCCTATGAGGTTATATAATGGACAGACTTTAGTAAGTTCATTATTCACTTGGTTCGAGTCTCCTCTAACAAAATTGTTTAGGCTATAGTCTGTCAAGCCCCATGCGAGTTACGGATTCCACTCATTTTTAGTGTTGTGAAACGTCTACTAGCTGTCACGATGCTGAAGGAGTTAAACCATAACCTGCATTGGGCCGTAGTGGATTTTGGCCTATAAACCCAGTATTTAGAGAAGACTTGATAATATAGTGTTATTAACATCGAGTATATAACCAGAAATAGAGACGAAATGTCATTTAATTTGTTTGAAAACTATTCTGCCACATCATTACTGTGACAACTACGCTCCGATTGGCCAGCCCGAATTCGAAACAATTGACGGGTGTCGCAATTATTTTACTTCAAATCGACCAGTTTAACTTGAGCTTTGCTAAATTAACGATAATTGCAAAATTACATATTTAATATTAATACCCGATGAAATTTGATTCTGTTTATTTTGTGTAATTAGATGTTTTGCTGTTTTTCCCCACACCACCATTCGGTGCGGAACGGCACGCCATTGTTAGAGCTATTATCTTGATTACAATAAATACAGAATATTTTTGGAACATACGGAGACGTACACACCGGTCAGTTGTTGGCGTTGTCTGTATTTCAGTGCAAACGAGAGTTGATATGTATAAGTCATGGATCACTGATGAGTTACCAGTAATGTATGGCCCTTATTTCGTCTCTATTTCTGATTATATACTCGATGGTTATTATATAGTTTATTGAATATCACTATGTTTGACTATAATGATATACTCTACTATTTTATTATAATTATTAATACAAAGATCGAAGGGAAGGAAGATTTCCCTCGATTCAGCTGGACTCGAACCAGCAACCTCATAATAATAAATTGTGAACTGATTTTGATGATTCTTTTTTCTTGTACTTCAGTAGTGACCCCAGTTCCCAATTTGAAGAAAATATCCACCTCTTCAAGGGTGGCAAACTAGGGGATGAATGACTTTTGACGACGGTTTTTTGGTACTCTGTACTGAGTTTATTAATTTCAGTTGAAATGTGTTCTAAACTATCATGTGAAGTACTGTTAATCATTGCAGCACCCACAGTCTGAGTCATTGGTAGTCGAAGTACCACCACTGCCTCCCCTGCCTCCTCTGCAGGACATGAAACGGTGTCCAGACACTGACTGGTTCAACAAACATAAGAGTGGGCTAAAAGTAAGGAAGAATTACTGTCATTATTAATTTTTATATCATCGCTTTATTATAATTATTAATACAAAGATCGAACACTCAGAAAAAATTCCTTCGATCCAGCCGGATTCGAACCGACGTCTTCTAGCTTACCGTGCCAGACGCTATACCACAGAACAAACCAGCGGACCTCACGAATTTTTAATTTTTATTTTTTAATCTTTGTATTAATAATTATAACAAACTAGTGGAGTAATTTCACCAAAAATAATTGAATATCGATTCAATAAAAATTTGTCATCACTTTATGTTAAAACTTTTTTTTAATAAGCATATAATTAACTGTCTATCTAAACTGTATATCTAAATAGACTCCGCAAGTACCGCGCTCGGTAACCTATCACAAACTCGACTTTATTTTTTCCGAAATAACGTTTGTTAGTCTTTTCATTACCCCGAAAACCGAATTATAACGAAACCGTTATTCTTTCAGGATATGTTGGATGTTTATCGCAAAGACATGATTAGGTTCTGTTAGGTTAGGTTAAGTTAGGTTTAAAAGAAAAATATATTTTCCTCTCTAAATTTCTTTCTAGGTTATGAAAATTCGAGCCAACGTTATTTCTGGAAAATGTAATTTCGGACTTCTATATAATCTATATAGAAGTCCTCGTAATCACCGTTATCTGTATGAAAACCAGGCGTGCCACATTTTTGTGCCACCGATAACTTCACAAGCGCTATTTAGTGATGGAAAATCTTCTTCGGCACTAAGCGATTGATTAAATCGACGACGCGGACGCAGCAAGAATTTAGAATAATGATTTTTCAAGTATTTGTTGTCTAAAAGAGGCCGTGAAATATTAATATAATAAAATAATACTAGAATAAGATAATTAAATCCTTTATTGTAATTGTAATATAATCCTGTTCTACGAAAAAAAGTTGCTCCGGAAAATTAAAAAAAAACGACAATAAACTTTATAGAATATTTTTAAAACTTTTTCTGAGGTCTTAAGAATTATCATCCCTTTCTTTCCTAAATCTATCAGAATCGAGAACTGTCTTGCATCAAGTGAACATCACTAGTCGTAAAATTTGACCAAAAACATGGCTGTACCACGAAACTAAATGCATTATACGAAAGTATGGCTCGTTCGATATTCATGACGTACTAAAGAAGGTCCACAAATGTACCGCACCAAGTAAAAGCCGCAATGTATTACGAACATGCGACATACACTCGTTTGCATATTTGTTTTCTCGAAATCCATTCAATAGGAAAATAATTAACTTTAAAATAAATTATGCATATTCTGATCACAAAATTGTGGAAGAAACTTAACTAGAAGTGGAAGAAAATGTCCCTGTTTATTCATCTGTTCATAGCTGTGGTATTTTAGCAGATTTTAATAGCACAGTTAGGCTTTTTGCACGTTTTCGACTGAGGCTTAACTACGATAACGACCGGGCGTGTTTTGAAGCGTAGCAGCGGCAACTAAGCGTTTATAGATTACATTGGACACGCAAAGTAGGTACACGTGCGGCGTCTATTTAGATATATGTCTGTTATCTGAAATGGCCATTATGTACTGACTGTCGTCTGCACGCTTCTTTGAATGACCCTTTTGGCAAAAAATACATAGCATAACTTCCAGGACGACGGATCAATACTGGACGAGACGGAGCCTGTGTTGGGCTCGGAGCTGGCTGCGCAGGCGCAGAGCAAACAGCCCAGCAAGAAGAGTCTGCCGCACAAGAAGCGGATCTCGAGGAAACTCAAGCGGAACACGCCCATCATGCCAAGCGTCAGTATAATTTTTGTCAATTTTTTTCTTTATTTATGGAAATTGAGACTGTAGCCACCCATACTAAGCTATTGAAGGCATATTATCTAGTTATCTATATAAAGCTACAAGTGCTTATTCACTGATAGAAATAGAACGCATACTTCCCGATATGGTGGAAAAAAAATATTTGTACCGTTGTACGCGGATAGGCTCCAAAGCAAAGAATCAAATATGAGGGAACCTGAATATGGAAAATATGGAAGAGTGATCAACGGCCTGCAAAAACTATACAAATTTCAACGCCCCCTATCACGGAAACTATTAGAGACAGGTAGGAGGTGCTTGAAAGAATGTCATAGAGGGTAACACTGGTTAACTGCCTGGGTTAAAAAAAATCAAGATGGCGATTTCAAAATGGCGGCCGAAGAAATACTTGCTTTGATCCGGCTGAAAATTGGCATGCAAGGGTCTTTAGGAGCCTTTAAGCATAATTTGGGGTTAAAAGTTGCTTTTCGCCATTTTTTTATATGGCTGCCATATAAGTGTTCTTTTTCGTGAAAAATTACTGCCGAAAAAGATTTTCTCTGATTCGGCTGAAAATTGGCATGTGAAGAAGTGCCGAATAATAATTTGTGCTCAAAATTTGTTTTTCATCATTGTCAAATATGGCCGTCATAGAAGCGTTCGTTGACGGCAGAAAAAAAATTGCTCAGATCTCTTTGAAAATTGGCATACGGGTACTCGGGTACTCTATGGGTCGTATTCTAGAACTCTACTCGATGCTCAAGTCAGTATTTGAGTATGGTTTAAAGCACTCGAAATCATACTCAAGTCCCTGCCATTAGGGTCGTATTTCCAGTGCTTGTGTTTCAATTGCAATCCTGACTTTGGCATTGAGTAGAGTTCTAGAATACGACCCTCAGAGTGCTTGATAATAATTTGTGATCAAAATTGGTTTTTCGTCATTTTTGTATATGGCCGCCAAACAAGCGTTTATAAAAATTAGCTCTAATTCAACCGAAAATCGGTATTTGGAGGTCTCTATAGGTTTTTGATAATAATTTGTGGTCAAAATTTATTTTTCGCCTTTTTTCAATATAACCTCTTTTAGCGGCAGGTAAAAATTTGCTCTAATTCTATTGAAAATGGACATGTCGGGGTCTCTATGAGTGTTTAATAATAATTAGCGGTCAAAATTTACTTTTCGCCATTTTTCGCTATGGCTGCCGTACAAACTTTTTTGCGATAGATAAAAATGTCTTCTAATTCGATCCGTTTTTCGATATAGCCGTAATTTTTTATGTAAATGGTTGTTGTAAAAACTTGCTTTGCTCGGATTGAAAATTGGCACGGAAATATTTCTAAGATTGTTTGATAATAATTAGTGGTGAAAATATATTTTCGCAATTTTTAAATATGGGCGCCATTAAAGATCTATTTAAATTTTTTTGAAACAAAGTCGTAAGTGCCGAGGCCATAGGCCGAGGACCGAGGAGGGCGAAGCCCGAAGCGTCTGCACGCCATCGCATGGAAGTAATTTACAAAGGCGTAATGGATTACGAGTACAAGATCTCACAATTGTAAAAATGTAAGGCATACTTCCAAGGCGTTGTTGTATCTCAACCGTCTCTCGTTAGATTCCATTTTCCAGTATTTAGTGGGAAAAAATGCCAAACTACTGCCGAATTTCCTGTAGTATAAATACCAAAACAACGATAACCCAGAATACTCAGACCAAAACCAACTTAGAAATGTTCGTTTCTTAAATTGGCCCAAATCGGGAATCAACCTCCTCATCAAGCGCTCATAGTACTAACTGTTGTGCCACCGAAGAGCATGAGCACACCCCGTAAACTCGCCCAACTGAGCCCGACCCTACTGTAGGTGGGGTACAGGACTCGTTTATTATATAGGTGTAGAGAGTTTTAACATTGTTTTACAATACTATAAATATCAAATTGGCGTGTCACATGAATCTAATAAATCAGTTAATATTTTATTAGTAACGTGGGTCAATATTAATGATACTTGTTCAAGGGATTGGTCCATCACCTTGAATAGTTATGACATTTTCTAGACCAGACTAACAATATCTTCAAAAACACATTGAATGATTCCACAATCTGATCTTATCCATGGAAAAGCAAAATATACAGACGAAAGTTAATAATATTACATTTTATTTATAAATAATAGACACACGCTTGGCTACAATCTCACCTGATGTTATGCGACGGTGGTAAGCGTTTGTCTAAAAAATACCTATTCACTCTAGCCTTGAATAGCCCCAAATTGTACTTTTCGGTAAGCACAGATAGAGCCGTTTGCCGTACGTATCGGAAAGGAGGAAGCAAAGCGCTTAGTGCGAATGGGTGGTATATCAACGACTCCGACTCCGCAAACATCACACACCACATATAAACTATACTATAGACTATAGAGAACAATGACCGAGTTTCACATAGCCGCTGCTATTTTTCTACAGCTCGTCATGTTAAAGAAATCTAACACATTATTTCAATTTTAACATTGCCAAGATTACGAGAATAGAATAGAGTAGGAATCATTTATTACTCTACGCCGCAACACAAAAATACACAATAAGAAAGATAAAAAAATGTAAAGCTAAATTAAAACAAAAAATTAAAATAAAATTAAAAAATTGAATAAAAATAAAATTATAATAATAGGTAATATCAACAATGGAAACATTAATAAAATTAACGCAATTAAAGTATATGTCATTTGTGCAGCTGTAGCGTATGTAAAAAGATCCACTCGGCTAACGTCACCGCCGAGAAAAGGTTGTGACGCTGACTTTCTGTAGACCCTAAAACCGAGTGAGTACCGGACGTGTGTGTCACGTATATAAACAAAAATAAATTAAGTAAATATTTCTGTAATGTAATGTGTTGCGTTCTTGTAGTGTGTTCTCTTATATGTATAGAATACTTAAATAATTAATTTCATACATACATACATAGATATAAGTGCGTGTAATGTAGTGTTCAATATTTACAACAAACAAAATACAACTTAAGATTACTAAACATTTAGCATAAAAGAATTACTACATAAATATTACTATTACACACACAGAGCCTTAGCTGCACACAACTAGACTATAACACCCGTCTCTAAGGTTTTCAGGGACAAGAACTAGTAATATTTACAGAAAGTGCACAGTGAGAAAACATTAAAACTTGTGTTACATCTTGCATATTGCCGTCTGTTTCAATTTGTACTTGACGTTACAGCAAGACGTAGTTGTAATTAACTGCGCGGATGAGATGCCGCAAGAGGAGATCCTGCCGGACAATTTCGTGACAGCCGTGCAGCATCAGGAGCACCTGCCGGAAGACACTCATCATATCGCACAAGAGGTTCGTTTCCATGCCATGGGGATATAAGTTCATACAAATTAACTTTAGTGCATGTTTAAAACTGTAGATTGCGACACTAGGATAAATTTAAAAAAATATAAAGTTTTGAATCTTGGAAATTTGAGGTATGTCATACTAAATAAGAAGTACAAAATATAAAAAAGAAATGCAAAACTATTTAAACAACATTTTAGGAATGTTTAATAAAAATTAATTTACATTTCAATGTAATTGGTGAAAATAGTAAACTGTCGTTAAAAAGATAACAATTTGAAGGTTTCTCAATGATTATACTTTTTGATTTGTTAGTTTGCAATGAATTATATAGATGGCATGTCTGTATTTATTCTCGGAACTAAACAACGTTTTAGCACTGACTTTTACTCTAAAATATTAAAAGTATATACTCCGCTGCTTTGCGATTTTATTATGTTATTGTATATACATAATCATAATCATAGGTTAGGTACCTAATCTTAACAAAAATGTAACATCTGCCATCTGTTGGCCTTTTCGAATATTATTACAAACCCGTCGCGGGTTTATTTGTACTATATATTGATCAACGTTAAGAATCAAAATAAGCGTAGTTATGAGTGCAACATTTCTTTATATGAGAATGGATAGATGTGTGTAGAGTGTAGATGTGGATAGATATTTACTAGTATATATATTATTGTCTTATCTATGGCAATAACGAAAACCACTGTAACACAGGTCTTGTTTAGGTAAGTCATTTTACATATACTGAATCTAAATAAAATGTAAAACTCCTGCTGGTGGCAGAGCCTAAGGACAATTAATTCATCTACCTAATTGTTCTATCAAGTAGGTACTTACCTCAGAATCGAACTACTAAAACAGAAGTTGAAAAATATGCCATACTTACTCGAGTAAGGTTCTGCACAGTGGAGAGTCAGCAGTAATACAACCAATAGAAATATGCAATTGCAGATGCGAGCGATCCTGATCTGCCAGCTGTGCGGCGAGTTCTACGGCGAGGAGCAGCTAAAGTTCTACCAGCACCTGAAGCAGCACTACGAGCCGCACCATGCCATCATCATCGAGAACCCCGTGCCGCCGCCGGTGCCCGACCTGGCCATTGACAAGGTACGACCGCCCGGGCCTGTTGTGGTCCCCGCTGACTGAGTCAAAGTCAAACAATCATTTATTCCATAGGTAATCAATAGTACATTATTGCACAGGCTGAGAAGTAAGGGATTGCTGGTCGTCCATGTGTTACAAGGCCGAGTGCCTTGTAATGATACGAGTCAAGCAATCCCCGTTCCCGTCGAAGCATTTATAGTGCTTTTCTCAAACAATGTAAGGAAATAATAAAAGACTAAAGAGAGGAAGATGCATAACAGAAAAAATAAAAGAAAAATATTAATTAATATTAAAAGTAAATTATTTTGACTAATATTACTTCTTATTTTACATTAGGCGGAGTACAATCCATTACTGTATTTTCGTTATCGCTCTTCTCACTAGAACTTATTTTTGCGATAAAAATTCAAGAAATATGAAAAAACAGAAGAATACCAAATCACTTCACAGATATTTTACCGCCTTTCTTTAAAGTAAGCGGTAGGTGTTTTTGATTCTCGCAATTACGAACCCTTGGGCGTCTAGCTGTATAACTTTTTATTTTGCCTGTTTACATAGTTCATTGTTGTAGTAGATATATTAAAAGTTTAGAGCAGCGGACATGGATTTTCATACTTAGTTTGCAGGCATTGGCCGAGAAGAACTCGCACGGTCCATAAAAGACAAACTTCCCATGTTCGTTTTTTAAAAGTAATGCAAACATTTCCGACCATGTTTGAAAAAAATAAATTTACACTTGACAACGTAAAGTTTCAAGTTCACTGTGCTGACTTTCCCGAAAAGATCATGCAAGAAACTCTAGGGTTGCTCTTTTCAAATAAACTTAAATGCTATGGAATACACTTTGAATGAAATTTGTGTGGAATCTACAGTTATATCGTCTTTCTATAAGTCTTTATCTAACACATAAAAATCGTCTACGTTCGTTAAATGAAATCATGGTACCATGAGTTTGGACTTACTTCTAAGGTTAATTTTATAAGCATCTGCGACCATACTGAAATTATGTATATTTTTACGGACATACAAAATATTTGAGTAAATGTACTGTGATGCCAAACACATGATATATTTTTTCAGATGACAAGCACGTGTATAGTAGACAACGTAGCGACGTTGCCAGATTCGATCGTAGAGCTGTCTCTAGAGAACACTGTACCCAAGACCATGTACCAGAGCATCGACAAACATATCCTGTACACCTCTAGCGATAAGACTTTGTATTCCAATAAGGTAAGTGGGCTTTATTTGGTCTCTATTTCCATTGTAAATGTGTTGTGATGAGTATTAAATCTCAGTTTTATTTCTTTTATTTAGATAACTTAAGAGTTTCTTTAACAAAGCAAACATTAAGAGCAATGAACTTGGGAAAGCTAAAATGTCTTTCATAGCAAAAAAGAGACAATTTTTTTAGGTCACAATAAGCGTATATTTGTTTTTTTTTCACACAAACCAACGTTTCAGTCCCTATATAGGTCCTATAGTTTTGGTCACGTGGTTTCATACAGCCGTGACCATAGGACCAGCAAACGGCCCGAAACGTTGGTTTGTTTGAGGAAACAAATATAGGCGGTTTAGATCCGAAAAAATAGTTTTATTTCCTAAAATGCATTTTGTTTGAAAATAATTAAATTTTTTTGTAAGTAAATACGTGCACGAAGCGACGATGAGGTCGACAATGTAGCATGCACACTTAAGTAGTGCCTATTCACTCTCGCTTTCAAAAGGCCCAAGTTATTGAGTTCGGGGAACAAGTCTGCAGGCAGGGAATTCCACTCCATAGCCGTTCGTCATATAAATGTGGAAGCGTAACGTTTCGTGCGAATCTTTGGAATATCCACAACATAGGTGTGGAGGTGGAACCCAAGCCTACGCCTAGTCCCCCGGTGATAGAATGGGGGGAAGGCGGCATCATGCAATTCCATCGCACACTCTCCGTGATATATCCTGTAGAATACCGATAAGCAGGCAACTTTACGACGTTGTTCAAGGCTCTGCAGCTTCGCCTCTACTAAATCCGTGTCCCAATAAGCCTCTTGCCGCGCTTGTCTATTGAATCCAAGGTGGCCATTTGGTATTTAGCAGAGCCATTTCATAGTGGCAGCAGTAATCAACACATGATCGGACTTGTGCTTGGAATAGTTGAAACAAAAATCAGATTTAGGAAGTTGTTAAAAAAGATCAAATTAATAATAGTAAGAATAAAAAGACGTGTATGAAAACACTGATGCCAGTGTTTGACAATTAATAGAATCATGCGTTACTTTGCTGAAATTCATATTTATTAAAAATTGAAGTAAATTATTTTGTTACCTCGCGAACCCAGTGAAGATTATCATCAAACCATTTATACTCCCCCTTGCTGGGCACGAATCTCCTCTCACGTTGGGGACTCTACAACTTTTTTCCGAGGGTTATGATCCTTCTTCGACGTGCAGATTTCATCACGAAGTTTTCCTTCATCTAAATAAATTTCAAATCGCCAAGAAACGAGGTGCGAACCCGGATTTGAACCCACGGCCTGTGGTTGAGAGATGTAAATATTAAATCATACAAACTTAGTTGATTTTTTATGCAGTTGAAATTCCCACTCTCCCTCTGAACAAAATTAATAACAAAGTCATTAGAATAGAATAGAATACGTTTATTTGCCAGAATACGGTAAATATACAGATCTTAAATTTATTTAGATACAATGTATTCAACCTGCAAGCAAGTGTGCAAATGTAGTGGAATTTATTATATCTTTTGTACAGTTAATTGCATAGGATTATAGGAAATAAATGTATGAGAATAATATTACTATTAATGTATTACTATTATGCAATACTAAAATAATTTGACGATTAATGTTTTATAAAAACTTTAGATTTTTAGGCTCTACATTCCTTTTGACATTCTTTTGACATTCATTTCTTACAATTGATTTATTAACTTTCGGAATATATTAGCTTGAATTTAATTATTATAATTGTAATAATATTCAAATATATTTAATAGTATTCTAAATGTATTATAATATTTTAAAATGTACAATTGACATTGCTACACCCTTACAGGGTACATGTTTGATACTTCATCAACTATTATAAGACCTAAATGTAACAACATGTTTTGCAATAAACGTTTATTATTATTATTAGGAAATGAAACTATATTTCCGGATTTAATTCACGTATATTTGTTTTTTCAAACAAACCGACGTTTCGGGCCCTTTACAGGTCCCATGGTCACGGTTGACTGAGGTGGTACAGTCTTCAACCAGTTATGTCTAATATTAATGCAAACCAACCTTATTTTTTCACTATAGTTGCAATAGTTATTAATTAAATACCTTATTTTAATTTTACAAAGAAATCATTCCAATTTACGCTACATTAAGTTTTACAAATTATTTTATTGAATGAATTTTTATTAAGTTTAATTTATTATTAACAGAAATTAGAATAAACTAAAACATATTAATTAGTACTGCAGTCTTATGTCTGTTTGGGATTTTTCATTAGAGGAAATACTGGATCCCAAACTGGTGGTACGGAGAAACCATCTTCCCTGTTCAAATTGGGATGTTTTTTCATTTCAATGGCCTCTCGCAGCATCCGGGGTAGATAACGGACTTCTTTTGCAAGGACCTGGGGTTTGTCAAACTTCATTGAATGTGTAGGTTTATCCATGACATGCTTGCAGACTGCAGACTTGTTTACGCGACGGTGTTTGACATCAGCTATATGTTCTTTGACGCGGATTTAAATCCGGAAAAATAGTTTCATTTCCTATGTGTAACAATCGCGAAAACCTAAGAACTCGACAGTTAAGTGCATTTTAATACAATGTTAATTAGTATTTGTAAATTCGAAATATTCTTTATTACTATAGAATCAATGTGTCAAAAGCCATCTTGTCAATTGTAGTTAAAAGTACGTCCTTGTAGTAATTATGGAATGGAATGGTATAATTGATTCATAAATGAAATGAGTGAGTCTTGACAAACACACAGATGTCTCCAACATATGTACATGCTGGCAAGAGGTAGTATATTGAGTTTTTTGAATAAGGGTTTGCATGTGTCATCTGGTTTAGCGCCGCAAATTGCGCGAATGCATTTATGCAATTCACCTATTATTGTTATTGTTTCCAGGTGCAATACTCGATGGCGAGTATAGACAAGGAACCCGTGCCTTGCGTGCCGACGACGGAGGCCGACAAGGCAGACTTGTACGACACGCTGGAGAAGCTGGAGTTATATAGCTGCATCAAATGCAACAAGCCCTTCCGCAAACAGAAACAGTGCGAAGCGCACATTAAGGAGGCACATTCTAATTCTAAGGTTAGTATTTTTCGGAAGTCGTAACAATGCGTGAATAAGTTCACAACTCCAGCGCGTTACACCATACCGTACCAAATTATTTTTTAATCCAAAATGTGTAATACTTAACTCGAAAGTGTCAAATTTATGAAACGGTATTACTCATAATGCAGTTTCTCTTAAAAAAAATGAGTTCTAGGCTTTGATCGTTTAGATATTTCTGCGCACTTACTATTGACAATATTTATTTCGACCAATTATGGAAAGTAAAAGTCTAATAAGTAGAAAATCTATTTTAAGCTGACAGGGTCACTCATGAAGAGTTTTTAAAATTTTTTGTGAAGACGTTAAAATTTCACTTTGTACGCGCATGTTTAGTCATCATATTCATATTTTTTTAACTAGCAGTTGTTGAGAAAAAAAAGAGTAAAATTGCGTTTTGAAAATCCCGCCTAGGAATTTATCGCCCGTATCACGTACTTCCTGAATAAAAACCGATATTAAGTTTGATGAATTAATTAGTGTCAGGTTTTGTTTTTTACTTTAATGGCCTTAGGCGCGTGCTATTTAGAACTTTTTAGTCATTATTTCGATTTATTTTTAATTATTTCTTAAATAATAGGATATCTCTCGTATGTACTTTTCCATAAACAGTATTTTCTAATAAAATTTATGATTTGTTAGCTAATTAAAATATCGTCTGCTTAAAAGTAAAACCACATAAGTGACATTCCACAAATCCACAAAAATCTCCAAATTATGTACCTGTTGTAAGAAAATCACCATCTTTCTGCAGATAAAGCAACATATTAAGTTTATAGGTTTTTTTGTTATTGAGTTTCACCTGCATAAAGATAGTGATTTTCTTACCATAGCTGTATATATAGACTTTTTTAGAAATGTCACTTATGTGGTTTTACCTTTAAACTGACGATATTATATTGTACATAATAACTGACAACACACAAATTCAAATAAGTTTGGTATCGGCATTTCTCGACACAAGTCGTGACGTCAGACCGAAATGAGTTGGTTTAAATGATTGAATTTGAATAGAAAAACAACGTAATGTAAAAGAAAAGAAAATAGATGTGTCTGAAAAAGTTGCTATTGTCGAAAGGTTTAATAAAAAAGTCTGTGAATGAATTGGTTGTTGCGATCAGTTGGAGGACATGGGCGAGTTCAGCGAGCCCGAGGACTTAATGGAAGGCATCCACGTGGCGGTGGAGGATGGCGGAGAACCGTACGAGCAGACGCTGCTGCCGCACCTCACCGTGGAGAATGGGCAAGTGCACCAGGAACACGTTCGGCATTGGTGAGATGTTTCTTATCATTTTTATGGCAACTTACATTTTGTCTATATTTAAAGAAAATCTGTATGATGGATGTCCTTGCCATTTTTACACGTCGCGTCGTATGATTCACAAGTGGTGCGGACCGTTGATAACGTTCAGATTTAAATTTGTTTGTAAACGATTGCGCCCTTTAAATACACGTGGTTAAGGTTGAACTCTCTCGAAGAAGTTCTGCAGGGGACTTGTACATATGGGTGGGTTTTAACAAAATATTCCTATATTTTGAGATATTGCACGCTCAGACAGTTCGTTACAGCTTTTGCACCGTACAACATTTTTTAACCGACTTCAAAAAAAGGAGGAGGTTCTCAATTGAGATTTTTTTTTTTGTGTGTATGTTACGTGTTTGCCCTGGCATTTGTGAATCTATTTCGATGATTTGTTTTTGCTGGGGTGTTGGTCTCATTTAAATTTGAAGAAAATATTTGTTGTTTAAGGGTGACAAACTAGGGGATGAATCTGGTTTCGCGCACTTTCCTGTCATCTGCAATAAAACTTGACAAAGAGAAGTAGGAAGTTTTTCAGAGTGTTCGATCTTTGTATTAATAATTATAACAAACCAGTGGAATAATTTCACAAAACATAATTGAATATCAATTCAATAAAAATTTAAACAGAGAAGTAATTTGACAAACTTTTGAGGCCGGATTTTTGTATATAAAAAAGTTATTAACTCAACAACCTACTTATTGCACACGTAAACGCTCATAAAGACAGCTGACACCGCGCTTCACTGGCGGTCGGCCGCAGATAATTATTGAGATCCGTATTGTAGACTTTTCACTCAATACATTAACTTACTAGTTTATTACGGAAATTGTGGATTACGCCGACTCCACACACTTACTTGTTTCTACTCTATTTAAGTACTAGTTCAACCTTGGACGTTCAGTTATTTCCTCCGACCGTTGACCGATTCTGAGAAGCGCGCTGTGGGTGTGGCTAACGGCTGCGGCTGCGCAGGTACCTGCGCTCGAGCGGCGCGGCGCTGCCGGCGTGCGGCGCGGAGGGCGCCTTCTGCGCCGTGTGCGCCGCGCCGCCCGCGCCGCCGCCCCC